GTGTGTGTGTGTGTGTGTGTGTGTGTGTGTGTACTTACACACTTGTACTGTACATTTGCACCAGCCTGAAATACAAACCCTTCTTTCATCCCCTCGACCTTTTCAAACTGCTCATTATTTGTGTCCTTGTGACATTTACAGACTGTTTAATTGGACATAATGACCCCCCCCGTCCCTGCGCCCCCCCGCCCCCCATGGATCCTCTGCTCATCTGTACTGTCTTTCTTAAAGACAATAAATGTTTTACATGTTTTTTAAACGAGGTACATAAATCTGCCTTTATTTTGAGTAGGTTAGATGGGATGATCAACCCCTGGTCTGCGGCACACGAGCGTACCACGAGAGATCAGCAGGTGTGAAAAAAGAAACGTTGAGCGTTGTTGTCTTTCTTCTCTTCCTGCCTGTACAGCAGTGTAACTCTGTGTCCTTCAATCACTGGAGCTGGGCCCCAGCTGGAGTCCACAGTGTGTCCTCCTGTGGTCCAGTCTGAAGGCTGGATGATTGGGGAGGAGGTGTGGTGTGGTATCTGCTGATTGGTCGACTTGGCAGCTCTCTTTAAATGGACCAAAAAAAATCATCATTCAGTGAATGGTTTTCATTTTCTTTATTTCTCAGTTTTGAAGACATTAAAAACAACTTGAATGATGATGATTGGATTAGTTCTGATGACATCACGGTTTGTTGTGGTAGCAGTCAGTGGTGGTCAGTGGTGGTCAGTGATTGTGGTGAGAACTGCAGTCGTTTGATTTCATGATGGAGGTAGAACATCTGTGTTGAAGTAGTTTGGATTGTCTCAGACTTCTGGTTCTGTCGAACGTCTCTGAACGTTGACGGCGTCTCAGAAAACTCCGGTCTCTGTCAGCAGCGTTCCCGCCTCCAGCAGCAGGGCCTTGACGTAGACCTGCACAGTGTAGAACATGGTGACAAAGTCCTGCGTGCTGAAGAGCGTGTCGGCCAGAGCGAAGCCCAGCGTGGACGGGATGAAGCCTCTGCCGTACTCCACCATCCACGTCCCCGACGTCCACTGGACCGACGTGGCCTCGCCCACGCCGTGTACGATGGTGTCACCTGTGGGACACGAGAAAAAGTCAAACTCATTCATCGTATTAACTCATTCAGAGGGGGAGGGGGGGGTGAGGAGATGGGGGTGGTCACTCGACTTTACCAGGATAAAACATTTCACTTTTCGTCGTCCCCTCCTTCCACTGACGGAACGTGCCGGAGATGATGGTGTCAGAAATTTCAGCCCAGTACCGACCTGAGAGGAACAGGAAGTGACAGTGAGTACCAGCGACACCGATCTGAACCAATGAACACTGTAGTCGCCCCCCCCCTCACCCGAGTGTCCTCCCGTGTCCACCGCTGTACCAAACAGCAGCACGTACTCTGTGAGCGAGGCGTGGAGCAGACACATGGAGCCCATCCAGCCGCCGGCGTTCACGAACACCCAGCGCAGGTCCTCGTCAGGCAGGATGTGTCCAGGATACCTGGGGTCACACACTCATCGTTACCTCGGGGTGTTGATTCAACGCCCCAGGAGAAACCGTTCTCTGACTTGATGGAACTCGCTCTGAAGAATCAGTTCAGTGTTTTTAACCTTCACATCAAACCTTCTCATCTAACTGGTTATTCTGCTCCATGTGGTCGTGGAGAACAAACAGAGGCAGAGGCAGAAACGGTTGGCTATTTTAACTAAACCTCCAAACGTTTGGCCAATCACACGGCAGCTAATGATGTGACAAACTCTTTCTACAACTTCATTAAAATCTGATTTAAAAGAATAAAAAGTTTTCAAAAAAAACAGATCGTAGTTTTAGAGTCTGTTCCTCACAGTTTGGATCAGAACGTTGTCTTCCAAGTTACCAACGCAC